ATATTTAATGGTAAATTGCACGTAGAGTGAAGACTGGCAAAAATACTGTTTATTAAGTGCTGTATATGTAGTTTAATTTATTTTTTAGTTTTATATTTATATTTAGTTTTATTAATTTAAAATATACACAAATATACTAAGAAAACATACAGCGCAGGGAGAGACAAAAACCTAATAGGCTTATATAAAGCCTCCACCTAAATAACTATAAAATTACACAATATAATGAAAAATGCAACATATATGAAATATAAATACATATGGTTATGAAATAATTGATTTATACAACCATATTAACTCCTGAGCAGTAGTAAAAATAAACATCACAATAAATGAAGCAAATAAAACAACAGAAGAACAACTACAGTACAGATATTAAATGATCTTTTAAGCATCTTTTATAGGATTTTAAAGAACAATTTTTTGCCAAATGGGAAAAGCTATTCCATATTTTAGTTACTTATTACTTTATTATTAATAATATTGAGGTCAGAAGTCACTACACTTCAAACAAAGGAAGATTGCAGGAAACCAGGAATTGAGCTTTTTTTTGATGTTCAAATGTCTGATGTTAGTGTTTATGGTGAATTGTGCTTGATATGACTAGACATGAACTAACTAGGGGAAAAAAAACAGTTTTTCAGGTAGACTTTAAAGTGGTTGTAAACCAAACCTAAAGAAGTTTAAGAGATGAGTGTAGAACGTGAAGATTTGAGCTTGTCACCCTAAACTAGCTCATTGGCTCCTCAACCTTCTTACCTGACTGTTCTGTACAGGCATTTAGGATTTGATATTCGTTGAAACAGTCCTGTATAATACAGTGTAACACTGTCTGTCTGTACAGCTTACTTAATGAAAAGAGGGAGCTGGCCAGTCAAGAGCTGAGGGGTCTTGAGGAGACAGTGGTGAGTGGATGAGTTGCTCCTGAGCTAAGCTACACTTGGATTGAAATATTTCATGCATGATGATGTTGCTTATAATGACTCTAGTGAGAGCTTCAGTAGCGCTAACTGGTTCACATAACTTGCCATATGATTTGCAAAGAACCACATTCTAAATTCCTGGATGTGTTTTGTGTTTCAGGCCCGAGAGCTGCAGACCTTACATAATTTGCGAAAGCTGTTTGTGCAGGATCTGTTGACACGCGTGAAAAAGGTAACACATAACATTTACCCTTAGGAGTGTCTTCTTTCTATATGACACGCCCAGGTGGTTGTGCATGTGAGCCTTATTGAGAATGGCCCCCTTTTCAAAATTTCTACATTTTACAATCGTTGAGACAAATCCAGGTTAATTCAGAGTGGTGATATGTACAACATAAATACACATTTTAAAACAACCAGTGAACCTACACATCTTCTGAGTTTTATGTTAATAACGGTAAGTTTATGTTAATGATGGTAAAATGGTAAATTGCGTGTACTTCTCCACACTGAGCATGTTTAAAATAAAATGGGCCAAAAATATTATAAAATAATGTCTGGCATCAAAAAGCATATTGCATGACACGGTTAACGATAACTTTGTGATGTAGCTTTAGGGACATCTAGTTCCTGTCACCGCCACTGTGAGCAGTGCCGACTCAGTAAGCTTTTCTAGAGTGATGCGTTTTAAACCCCTCTCAATTACTTTATTAACATCTTAATGATTTAATTATGCATTTTTATTGTTCAGATTTACAATGTGGAAAATTTGGTGAAATTCCCCTTTAAGACCACAGAACCATGGGGAAATGTACTACGCCTCAGTTTATGCAGGTCATATATAAAAACGAAGCTGCAAAAGTAGCTCATTTTCAATTCAACACGTTTATATATGACCGCCAATTCATCCTACAGCAGTTTACCCAGCCATCCACATTGAAGTTATGTGGAGTGTTGTTCCTGCAGACGATCTGTAGCAGAGTTATTGGAATGGGGAATGTGGTTAAATGTTGTTCTGTTTCTGGCTGTTGGGATGCAAATGAAGTTGAAGCCTTCCAAAAATCCACAAATCCAAAAGGAGTAGTCGAAATTTAATTCTTCTGATGTCCCTGAAAATTTCAATCCAAAATTAACTGCTTCTTTCTTATATTCCACAGATTTTCCATAGACTTTAGTGTTCACTATAACACCTCCTTCAATTCAGATAGGGCTTATTAATAAACTGATGAATTGGATCAGGTGTGTAGGAGCAGGGAAATCATTACAAATTCTAGGTGGGCTTCCAAAGAAACTTAAGCAATAAAATGTAAAATATGTACTCTTTTAAGGCTGGTCCTAAGATGGGGTCGGCAACACACGGCTACAGAGCCACATGCTGCTCCTTTACTGCTCTGTTGCGGCTCCACATCAGAATTAGATTTGTAGGTATAAATAAAATAATCCTCCTTTGCAGCAAAATAAAGCTCTGCTGATCATTCAACACAGTTTAAACAATACGCTGTCTTAAACGCTGGAGTTAATGTAGCCTATATCTGCTAATTCACCCATTAACCCTTAAAGTTGCTGTGCAGACTGCAACACAGACAACAGTCTTGACTAGCTAGTAGCTAACAAAAAGGTAAAGAGAAAGATTTAAGATGAAGATCGATAAGTTGGAGACATATGGACTTGCTTGCATTTACAATCTTTCCAGCTGGTTTCCTGATACGTTTAATCTGCAGTGAGAAACTGTCAAACACTAGAAAGTCACGAAGCTGAAGTCAGCTTCTCATTCGCCAGCTTCGTGTTTGAATTTTCCCGTTTCACCTTAAATCGTGCAGCAGTTACATTCTGGCAACTCGGGCAACATTTAAGGTAGAATGGGGAAAATTAGGACAAGAAGCTGGCGAATGAGAAGCGACTTCAGCCTCTTAAAAAAATCAAACGTTAAGAGACATTTTACAATAAATTATTTAACTTTTGCGGAACAGTTTCCTGCCGGAGATGTGAGAAAAGTGGCTATAGCTGATGTAAAGCTTAAAACAGAGCAAAGTAAGTCTGCGTTTTCGTTTATATTATATTTTTAGCCTGTATTAGTACATCAGCACATACTGAGACATATTTACAGTCATATTCACAGGACATAAAATGTTGTGGCTCATCAAGGTGTGTTGATTTTTGTTGAAAGGACAAAATGGCTCCTCTTAACATTTCCGTTGCTGACCCCTGTCTTAGGAGAATTAATATTAATAAACTCCTTTTTGTCATTCCAGCTAGTGGTATGGTTCTCGCACTGATACTCTGCAGTAGAACTTAATCAGCATGTTGACAGAGCATTTACAATGATGACTGTATGATTAACAGAGCACTGAGCTGGACTGCGACGAAGGTGGGAGCAGTTTTCTACAGAAACAGAAGATCTGCTTCCTGGAAAATAATCTAGAACAGCTCACCAAAGTCCATAAACAGGTAATCGCACACATTTTTGAGTCACTAATAAGGCAGATGCACACATCCAGACTCAAAGTTCACCGCTCACTGCTGTCACACCACCAGCTGGCTCGGGATAATGCAGATCTGCGCTGTGAGCTACCGAAGCTGGAGAAGCGTCTGCGTGCGACTGCAGAGAGGGTAAAGGCTCTGGAGGCGGCCCTCAGACAGGCCAAAGAGAGCGCTGCACGAGACCGCAAACTCTACCAGCAGGAGGTGGACCGCATTAAAGACGCAGTCCGAGCAAAGAACATGGCACGACGTGGACACTCTGCTCTCATCGGTGAGTTTAGACGCACGTAAACACACACATTTTGAGTGTATAATGTGCAAATACTGAGTTAGCAGAGAATACATGTAAAAGCGTTATGTAATTAAGTTACAAAAAGGGTCAAAGCATTTCATTACAGTTACAGGAAAAAAACATTACAGATACATTACAAAATAGTGATTACTAGCAAAATTACATTTAAAATATCTCTTGCACACAACGTGTTTTTTGTTTTTTTTTGTTTTTTTTTAAGTGAAAAATGTCACATTTACTTCACCTATTTGATTTTTGTGAACTTTTGCAAGCAAGATGAACTAATTAAACAGACAGTAATCCAGTTACATTAACTTAAAGGGCCCATATCCTACATTTCTCTTGTATTTTAGGTCCTTGAGGCCAAAAACATTACATGACCATACATGGACAATACATGACCGTTTTCCAACCTCTCTTTATCTGTAAGAATTAAACAGGTTGTTTTTGTTACTGTGCCTTTAAGTGTAATATATGTAAATAATCTTTGTTTTGATTGTCTGCCTTGTACTGTGCCTCAAACTCATTGCAAATGTGCAGAGCTCAACTACTATAGGTTGAATAGGCAGAGATATATAAAGAAGTTTTAATCCTAAATTCAGAACAGTTATTTTTGCAGATTAGTTTCCATATATGGACTGGGGAGTTTTGAAACTTTTAACAGTGTTTACATACTACATCAGACTCTTACACATTACATCAGACTCTATTATATACTACATTAGATGCTTTTATGTGTACAGTAGAAAAGAGAGCAAAATACTGTTATACTATTCATGATATGGGCTGGATTAGGTTACAGATTACATTTTTTTTTTTTCCACAGCTAATCAGTGAGCTGTACCAATGTGTTTAAAGTAACCCGCTCAACACTTTAGTTGGTTTGTACCTGCCGTTCTTTACTTGTGAGGGCCATATGTGTGCACAGTACAATTCTAATGTAAGTAAAGTCTGTACATGAATGTAAACCTCTATTGTATCTGCCTGTGGTTATGATTACAGGTAGAGTCAATGATGACCCTTTCAAACCTGCCTCACAAATATACCCAAATAATCTGTGTGTTTATGTTGCAGCCAAGCCTATTCGTGCAGGTCACCATCATACATTCTGTCCAGTTGCTTTGAGAGGAGGACCGACAGTCTACAGCTATCATCATGTTTAGTCAACCACCAGCCTGTTGTCATCTCCATAACTACGCTACAGTCGTTCTTGTGACAACAGCCAAACCACAGCCTTTACCCTTTATTGCTCATCTGGCTTACTGCTGTGGTTCTTTTGTGACCTGTTCCATGATATCAAGCACTACATCAAAGCGTGATCAGCCATTTTCTGGAACACTAGAGGGCGCTACCACACAAGTGGTCGCTTCACTCAGAACGGTCTGTATTTTATGTCACTTAATCTGCAGATTTTTGGGGGGTGTTTTTGTCTGTCTGTCACTGCACTGTCTGAATTTATGTCCGTTTAAAGTTATTAAATATGTTGTTCAGATGCACGTTCTCTCATCTGACATACTGCAAGGCTTGAAACACTAAGGTCACATTCTAGGAATCTCCTTTTCATTTACCTTCCTGCACGTGTGTGCTGGCTACAGTTATATGATATGGCTGATGCTGTATTATCAAATCTAATGTTCTGATTAAAATAATCCAGTGAACGCTTACAGTAGTTTGAGCGCCGGTAAAGCATAAAGCAAACCAGTTATTCTCTAGTAACTTAAATGCTGGCTGACTGAAGAGAGAAAGTCTGTAAAAGGGGAATCTCATTTTTCAAATTCAACATAATTCAGTGGTTGTGAAGCCATTCAGAGTGGTTTGATGTCAAATGTTTCTTTGCAGATGTTTCTTTGCAGATAAACATACTGACTCTTAACAGTGGTGGTGATGGGAACCAGGGGTCATGATGGCTACAACATGAATATAGCCATTATAATTATAATTACTACTCAAAACAGTGAACTTACATGTGTCTTCTGAGGTTTACATGTTACACTGATGAAGGTAAAATAGTGGTAAATCTCTAATGTTGTACGCAGGGAACACACTTCTGCACATTTTAATGCACAATTACTATTATAAATTGCTGTATTTAACATATTGGGGGGGGAAAATAAAGCATAAAATGCTGCCTGTGCAAAAAGTTATGGCACATTTTATTATATGCTTATTTTTTTTTTTTATATCTTTACTCAACAAATAAATAGACATCATGCACTGACATGAAGGAAATGCCATATTTAAGTTCCCTGTAGAGGATATATTCACTTATTTTCACATCAGCAAAACATGTAGTGGTGTTCTAACTTTTGCATACAGCCGTGTTTTGCTGCATGTACTTGTTTGCTTTGAATGGCTTTTGCAAAATAGGCTAAAATCTTATAGTAAAACAATGTTTTAGTGTAGATGTGAATTTCATGTAGTAACTTTTCTATGAGGAAGCTTTGAGAGAGCTGAAATGCTTCAGAGGTCTGGTTCCTATCACCACCACTGTGGAAAAATTCGGACTCTGCAGGGGAGCATTTTGCATCAGACTGCTCTGAATGACTGTTGCAGATATTTTGGGGAATTTTTTTTTTTTGAAAACATTTTGCTGGTTTAAGGTTTGAAGATGTGCTTTAGGGACAGTTTTGCCAGCTCCCTCCTACTGTAGTTAGATGTAGATCAGTTGTTCCAGAATAGTTTATCAGATTTCTGGTTATTAGCCAATTAGAGTAGGTAGAAATAGTAACAGTGGGTTAGAGCACTTCAGACACTCCAGTCTCACAGTCAGCTGATACTGTTTAAGCTACTTTATCTGATGAATCTACTCTCTTTCTGCAGCCTCCTGCAGTACAACTTCTCTTTTATGTAACAGGATGAAGTGAATGGTAGAAATCAAGACACCAGCTGTCTAGTTTGTGTTTTGTTTTCTTCATTTTTCCACAAAGATGAATGAACTTTAGTGCACTTATATGAGAAATGGATGATGTTTACTTTTGTAGATAAGAGTTTGAAGATACTTTTAAGAATGACTACTGCATATATGTAAAAGAGGGCAGGATCATAATAACTAAGACTAATGTAGCTTATTTAGATATTTATTGTAAATGTTGAAACTGAACCAAATAAAGAGGATGTTCATATATTTCTCCTCAGATTGTGGTGGGTTGTGCTAAGGGTGTTCCCAATTTTGCATACAACTGTATGTTTCATGAAAAGTGTGCTTATTGCTTTAATGAGGGTCTGCAATTCTCAGCTTTTTCTTGCTCTCATTGCCAGCTTCAGTCTTGCTCTTCTTTTCTTCTTCTTTTCCTTCTTTTCTTTATTTCTGAATCCACTCAACTGCAAATCAAGGCCCTCCAGTCATCACACAGGCCGTGAGCTGTGTGATGACTGCTGTTATTGAGACGGCCTGCATAGCTGATAGAGAGGATGAGATGTGCGAGTGTGTGTGTGCGTGTGTGTGCGAGTGTGTGTGTGTGTGTGTGTGTCTCAGGCCGCGTGTTGTGTGATTTGTATTTACTTTCCCAGGCCGATACTTTCAGAGAGGTTTCACTTGGAAGCCCTGGAGCCTCTCCATCAGCATCCCTGACTCTGTAAACACTGGAGAGCACAGCTTTACTGCTGTCACACAGAGCATTTCTGCTGAAGTTTAAATGACATTGTGTAAACATGCCATGTTGCAACTTGACAGCTCTATTCAGAATTGGAAAATGATGCAGAGAGAGGGGCATTCTGGTAGAAAAGAGAGGCGAGTGCTATTGTGATTCATTGCTTGAAAGATTTCTGTGTGATCAGCTGAAAGGATAGAATCTCCTTGAGTGACTGATTTGTATGTGTGGAGAGGGAAAATTAAAGGAATATTCCAGTGTTTTTCAGCTTCACCTCTATCTGCTACGCCTGTAGTGTAGTATGTTACCATGGCCAGTGACAGTGAAATTCATTGACTCAACGTCCACTTACAATAGAAGCTGTTGGGCAGTTGTTGAATTCTATGAATAAGTGTTTGAAAGGCATTCTGTCACTGTCCAAAAAAACCCCAATTTAGATGACTTTTAGTTCTGTACATAATTTGAACTCGGTAGCTGCCTTTTGCAGTGAGTAAAACTTTTATGCTGAATGGACCAATAGAAATGCTCCAGCATTACTTGGAATAAAATCACATTAAATTAACTTAGATTGAAAGTAAGATTTTAAGAATGTTTTTGCCCTCTCCTGTAAAGTTACCATTTTGGAGATTAGCTGTTTTTCTTTGGACAGCAATGGAATGTGATCAATATACAAATATGTAGACAAAAGTATTGGAACACCTATCCTAATTATTAAGTTCATGCGTCTCAGCCACACGCATTGCTAACAGGTGAATTTAATTAAGCACACTGGCAGTAGAATAGGGTCCTACTGATGAGCTTAGTGACTTTAAACATGGCTCTGTCATACGATGTCACCTCTGCCACAAGTCAGTGTGTGAATTTTTGTGTCATGTTCCAAACTGCCTCTGGAAGCATCATCATCAGCAAAGTAACTGCATCAGGAGCTTTATGAAATGGGTTTCCATGACTGAGCAGCTAAACACAAGCCTGAGATCAAAATGCACGAGATCACACCACCACTGGACTCTGGTGTGGTTGAAACATATTGTGTGAAGTGACGAATCACGCTTCTCTATCTGGCAGTCTGATGGACGAGTCTGGATTTGGTGAATGCCAGGAGAACATTACCTGTCTGACTGCATTGTGCCAACTGTAAAGTTTGGTGGAGGAGGGATAATGCTGTGGGGTTGTTTTTCAGGCCTCTTAGTTCCAGTGAAGGGTAATCCTAATGCTTCAGCAGACGAAGACATTTTGGACAATTGAATGCTTCCAACTTTGTGGGAACAGTTTGGGGAAGAACCTTTTCTGTTCCAGCATGACTGAGCCCCACTGCACAAAGCAAGGTCTATAAAGGCCTGGCTGGGTGAGTTTGGTGTGGAAGAACTTGACTGGCTCTCACAGAGCCCTGACTTCAACCCCACTGAACACCTTTGGGGTGAACTAGAATGGAGATTGTGAACCAGGTCCTCCCGTCCAACATCAGTGTCTGACCTCACAAATGCTCTTCTAGATGAATGGACAAAAATTCCCACAGACACTCCACAAAATCTTGTAGAAAGCTTCCCAGAAGAGTGGAAGTTGTTGTTCTACCAACCACCAACTCCATTTTAATGCCTATGGGTTTAGAATGGGATGTCCTAAAAGCTCCTGTAGGTATAATGTGCAGGTGTCCCAATACATTTGTCCATATAATGTGCGTGACAATATAACACACCAGAACAAAATCACTGGGGGAATATCAGACATAAACAAGGGTGTATTGTTACTTTTTGGGATATTTGAAAACTATTTGTTTAAAAACTGGCACATGTCCATGATGGTACACCTACTTGCTAACTACGTTTCATTCATTTCCCCAACATCAACAATCATCCACTATACTAACAACAGAGTATGCAAACTGCAGTGATCATTGAATGGCCTCGACACATACAAGCAATATGTACACACTTTAAAAAAGATGATTCTTTAAGGGTTTCTTAGGAAAGTTCTGCATGCTTAAATGGTTCTTCAGATTGATGGAGAATGTGTTGTATGTGGTTCTATATAGAACCTTTTTGAAATTGTTTCTATATGGCACTAAAACTGTTACTGTTTTGATGCCAAGCTTAAAACAATAGAGGAACCCTTTTTGGTGCTGTATAGATTCATATACAGCACATTCTCTATCAATCTGAAGAGATATTCCATCATGCAAAGAGTCATTTAAGCATGAAATGGTTCTAAATAGAACCCATGGTTCTAAATAGAATCGCTGCCTTTACTAAAGAACCCTTGAAGAACCATAATTGCATAGACTAATTATAGTCTTTATACTACACTACCGGAGCCATTCTACATACCTAAAAAGTTATCTGCATACTACAGCGCTGCTCTCTGCTCTGCTATCTGCCTAAATGCTTTTTCCCCCAAAACTCAACTAAGAGTGTAAAAATTCAAACTAAGGGTGCAGCGCATGCTTTTGTAGAATGAAGCCTGCATCCTTCTGTAGTTCTGATCATTTCTGTGGAATGCTTGAATGCTATAAAGTAATAAGATGTATACAAATATGACTCCTACCATGAATAGACCTGAGCATGAAGACCACTCAGGACATTTTTATGTGTGATGAAGAGGGAGGGAAATCCCAGCAGGCAGGGAGTATGTAAGCTCCACGCTTGCTGGCCTGCTCTGCGGAATGCATAAGCCAGGATTTGCTCCTTAGATGTACTCAGAGGGAAAAAAAACGTATC